AAGATGGACTGCTGATCAAACAGTTGCATAGAGATAGAAATGGCCCTAGCATATTTTAGTTATTTTCTAGGGGAATTTTCCTAGGGTTCAAGTTTTGGGACTATTGCAGCCTTGGAAAATGACATGTGTCAGTGTCACAGTAATTTATTTAGAAAACGTGAGGTTAATGTTGGGTTAATGCTTGTTTATTAGTTGGGTATAAATGAGAATCGATAAATTAAGCCTACATATTTGTAATGTTATTAAAAATAACAAACATCATCTTCAGGAAGCTAACAGGAACAAAAGTAATATGATGTCATTGAATCCAGGGCCGGACTGGGTGGGTAAGGCCCCGGCCGCTCGAGCGGCCTAACGGCCTGGGCCAGTTCGGCAATGAGTGAATCGGGCTCAATATAATAGAAATCAACATGTTTCATTCCCTAGGCCGTGTATCGAGTTCGAGTTCGGACTTTCGCTACACTAGGTATTCCCTATGACGCTTAGATGTGTAACAATTCAATATAACTCTTCTCTGTGGTAGAGGTCAAAAGTTTTAGAGCAAAATGTACCCAAAATTATTTTTTACACATGAATTCCGAGTTTTAAAAGCTTTCAAACGCATTATCTTGATGCTGAAGGAGTACATCACGTGCACATTTGATAACCGCATGTGTGTGATTCAAAGATGTTAAATTATTTTTCTGAGGCCACATGGATTTTGATCAAAATAAGTCAAGATCGTTATTTATGCACCAAGATCGTTGAGAAAAAGACTAGGGGCATTATCTCAATGCTCAAGACATAAATTTGATGCACTTCTGGCGACCACATGGATTTTGATCAAAACATGTCAAAATCGTTATTTATGCAACAAGATCGTTGGGAAAAAAAGCATTATCTCAATGACCAAAACATGAATTTGATGTATATTTTTTTTAGTATCAATTGATTTTATTTAAATATTATATAAAATATTTCGAACATTTAAAAAAGGTGTAAAGATTTAAGAGAGGAAAAAAATTTTTAATTGTAAGATTAATAGTATATTAAGATACAAGTGTATAATCAAGTCTTTAAAGCACGCGCAACGAGTTTAAGGGCACGACGCAAAGCGGAGTGCCTTTAACGTTGCAAGTGCTTTAAAGACCAATTTATACACGTGTATCTTATAGTATTTTTTATTATACCTGCAGTATAATTTAAAAATAGGAAATACAATGAAGTCATATTGACGTTATACTCGAATACATGTTTAATTAAGTGGGCTGGGTGTTCGAAATTTCACGATTGCCATGGAAATCTCACTTGACGTTTGCTTATAAAAATCGTCTTTGTAAATAAAACGATTTCCGTTGAAAAAGATAATACACCGTCCATTAAATCGCTTCTTGTAAAATCTAAACAAACGTTGCAGGTAGGTGTAAAATCCAAATCCAGTAAAGCTTATTATAAAGAATATGAAAGTTGTTTCTATGGATGAAAAGGAAGTTACTTACGAATAAAGTCTTAAATGCGTCGATAATGCTGGGATATATGAAGGAAATCTCAAAGGTATTTAAATCTCCTATCTTTTGGTGCATTCACTCAAAACTTCAAACAATGCTGAGATTAAAAGTGGAACAGATTTGAAAGCATACCCTAAATTACGCGCGTTTGTGAAACCTTCAACCAAAGGATAGGTGCAAGCCAAAGAAATGTTCTGCATTTACAGAAAGCGACCTAAGAGGATCTTTTATTTCAGCCCCAGATGACAGTTTCAAAAGTGATACTTGAAGTATCGTTACTTAGCAACTTTAAAGCACGTGTGTTTTAAAGGCCTTTTTTCGCACGCATTTGAGTGTTTAAAACGGAGATTGTGATTCAGGTATAATAAAAAATAAATTATCGTTAAAAGTGAGGATCCTTCGATATTTCGTTGTATCGGTTTATTCATTAATAGTTATTCTACCGACCGTTAGTACCTACATTAGGTATAAATTCCAGGAGGCGTGTTAGGTTATGTGCGTTTACCTACGGCCTTAGTGTAGGCGTAATCTGTATGCGACTGTTCTTCCTCGCCTTTAAATTTAAATTAATAATATTCCCAAACAGTTCCTGAAAAATCTTTTGAACTGCCATATTTTTACCACCCGCACGTTAGTAAGGGACTTTTTTGTAGGAAATTAAGATCTCTACAATTTATCTTTTATAACTTTTTTTGTATTTCTTTTTGTTTTCTCGGCGTTTGTAAAAAAATGTACGCAAATCTTAATTTTGAACTTTTAATAAACTTTTTAAAAAAGAATTGGCGTAGGTACGACTTGAACCCTTGACCTACATGTTGTTATAATTTCAGGTGCTTTTGGGGGTTCCGGTTGGGATGATCGAAGCGTTGTAAAAATTGAAACTGTCGTTATTTGTTTGACATTCTGCTCAAAGCGCAAGGGAATTATGCGATAATGGGAAATGAAAAAAATGATAGTTCTTATTTTTATTTTTATTATTAGTGCAATTCACATATCGAGTTCTTTGCGAGTATAATAAGGAAGGCCCTTTTGACATCTCCGCGAGTTAAGAACTGAATTGCATGAAATTTAATATGGGCATAGCTTTAGCAATATAAAAATCAAAATGCATAGTGCTCTTTTGGTATCTCGGCCATTTATGAACCGAATTGCAAACTTTTTTTAATTTATAAATGTAATTAAATGACAATAAAGCAAATGTAACGCCATTTTCAAAATTTGGCTTTGCGCATGCGCAGTGCCAACTTATTTATTTATTTATTTATTTATTTAAATATTTATTTATTTATTTATTTATTTATTTATTTATTTATTTATTTATTTATGAACATAACAGGTTACCCCGATAACAATGTTCATGTATTGTTAATAAAAAAATGCTGTGAACAATTTTTTACAGTCCTTGGATATTGTCACACGATCTTTCAAACTGTCTTAGGGACATATAAAAAATATCTATGGTGTTCTTCCATAAGCGCACACTATTATAGAACGCATTTTTGAAATTTTATACATATGCATTTGGAATAAAAGCAAATCTAACACCAGGTTCAATTTGGTTTTGCACATACTATAGTCATACCCAAGAGCTCGTTTGCTATATTTTTTACAGTTACTTTTACCCATACTAATAATACACTATCAGACGGGCACGAAGCAAATCCCTATAACTCATCAAAAGTACGGTTTGGGCTGGCTATGTAAAAACATCCGCTGAATCTAATCTGATTTTTACTATATGCAATATATTTGCCTTTACTACAAGTATCTGTGATTAAAATTTCAACAAAATATATTAATAAATAAAAAAGTTAACATTGCGCAGCCTGCGCATGCGCAGTTCAATCGTCAAGATTTTGCTTGACTCGGGTGCCAGAGCGATACGCTACCGAATGCAAAAAACACAAACTAAATATCTTGAAAACTGTAGGAGTAGTTAAGGCCTCGGACAGACGGACGGACGGACAGAGAAAGTAGCTGCAATAGCGCACCCAACTTCGTTGGAAAATGCGCTAAAAAAATGAGCAACTTTTGTATCTGCACTATTTTCACATAACCTACAATTTTCCTAGAAAACTGGAAAAATTGTGCGTGTCATAAATCATAAAGCTTCTCAGGCTCGAGTCGCTAACATGAAAGCAAACACAGTGCTCACAACTCACAAGCACTTATTTGAACGCAAAACACCAGTAGGGAATTAAATCGCCTTTACATACACTGTTCGATGATAAACTACAACACAGTAATCTACAACGGGGTGAATTACGAAAAACGGTCAACTAGTGGTACGGGGGTTACTCCAGCTGAACTCTTGATAGGAAGAAAGCTACGCATGCGGTTGGACCTCATTTTACCGGAAGAGCAGCTGAAGCGACAGCATTTGCGTAAACAGGAACGAGGGAGAAATCCGAAGAGACTAACAAGAAACAGTGCGGAAGTGAAACGTAATAAAGTGAGTGCGAGAGGCAATTTTAAAAAAGGTGATCGTGTTTTTGTGCGTGATTATCGCCGTGCTAAACCGAGTTTGGGTACCTGCAGAAATTGTAGAACAAAACGGACCTCGAAACTATAAGACATTAACTAAGGAAAACTTCATCTGGAGGAGGCATTCGGATCATATAATCAAAGGACCTTCTTACGATGATGACGACTTATTAGATTATTATTCACGTCCTTTGACTGTTGATTCAAATGCAACTATTGTTAATAATGTTGACGAGGATGTAGTAGAGGAATCTGCAGTTGGAAAGGCTAGTTCTCCGGAACCAATTAGGGAAGCTGAAACAATTGCAGATGATTTTGCAGTAACTAACTCTAGAAGTATGTTGCGCCCAACCAGAAACAGAAAACCTCCCGACTGGTTCGCAATAAAATAACTTATGTTATGTGAGGGAGGAATGATATGTATTTGGGAAATTGTTATCTGATAGCAGACTTGCACGAGTCGCGTAATGCAAGTCACAGAGCTCACGCGTTTGTATAATGTAATAGTTTTGCAATAAATATATTTCAGTATCCTTCCGTTATATGTGTATATATCCAGGCAAAGAGTTTCGTTGTATACTCTTTGATCCAGGATATCTAAATACAAAACAGGCGCGATAAAGTTTTATGATTGTTTATAAATACCTATAAGGTCAATTGTTTCTGTATGTGCACCAAGAGTCGGAACACAATCTTGGTCTCTCTCCGATTGATGTTGATGTTGAAGTCGCCTTAATCATCGTTTGTGAAACCGGGCATATAAAGACTCTAATAATTAGAAGTGCGATGGACTCAGCCAATGTGTTCCGTTTCTCTTGCATTGCATTATAAACTGGATTCACTTTTTGTTGTGCTTATACTAAATAGTAATAAACATATCTTTTATTGTACACCATGGTAATAGAGAATACAATGATAAAATATAAATTAGATTTGAGTATGTGCGTGATGATCTTTCTGTTGGTTAACCATATACCTACTCTTGTTTACACGTAACGAATAATGAAAATACCGTGCACAAGCATCAACTACAGTCTTTACATTTTTTATTGAATGAAAGTAGATGGTAGGTATAGTACAAAAAGTATATCAGAATCAGAAATACAAAAAAAACCTTATCTATCATGTATGAAATTCTACATATTTTTTACCAAATCATTGATTCGGCCTCAATATTTGTAACATTATATACAGATGTATTGTGTGGCAAGAAGATTGCCTTAAACCACCATCATGTTTTGTCCACCAATCCATAAGTCTTCTTAAAGCTGTTATTGATGCCGGCGTAACTGTCATTTCCTAACCTAAATGTAGATCTCGCATCGTAAACGTTTTCGGAAATTTTTGGGTACGTAATTCTCAATCGATCGTTGCGTAGTTTGGTCGCTTGCCTATAACGGCAAATCTTTGTAAAAGCAAAAATAATACTCAGTAGCACTAAAAATTCAACAAGGACAACAACCAATCCGGTAACCAAAAACATCACATATTGTTGTTTATACCACTGTTCAAGTGGTTCAATACATCCCTATAAAGATAATATTATACATATATAATCTTGAAGTATTTACCTTCACGTTACCTTTTTATAACGGAACCCTTCGTGACGTGTAGATTCCAATGCCTGACAAAGAGTAGCGTTGTTAGGATTTGGATTCAAATAGGCTTGTTCTTCGACGACATTATTTAAAATACAACATGTAAAAGGAACAGATAGTTTGTTTGGACCCAAATTTTGCAGTCTCCACAGTGATGTATCATACTCATTAGCAGATACCACTCCACAACATTTGAACTGGTAAGTGTTTTAGTAACTGTTTAAGGTTTTATGATTTTCACTTATACTTACAATGGCTTGTGTTAAGTCAATGGCTGCCGTGAATTGTTCCTGTCCAGGAACCCCATAATTACTTTGCAAAGCTTTGATTAATTCATCTTTATTTAAATCCAACCCGATGCAATGAGGCCATACCCACGACACAGTGTATACGGCACATTCCACAATCAACATTGCCATTATCACAAGAAAATACTAAAAAAACATTTTTTTCTAAAGTGAATTTGCTTATTACCTTTGCTTACCACCGTTAGTAAAAAGTAGCTATGTAAGCAGGACGCCCAACATCCGATGATTCCGATACCAACAATTATTAATCCCGACGATATTATTCCAATTGCAATATAATACAGGAATGGCTGGGGCATGGATGTGAGTGGTCCAGATGACAATAGCCGCGATAAAAGTATCTTTCCCGAATCAAAAAGTATAAGTAGTCCCCCTGTTACCAAGGAACAGCCGCATACCTAAAATTAAATTATATACATTACTTTATTTTGGGATTAGACAGGTGCATTTCAATGAGGCCATGGTGAGTGAGCAAGTAGTAGCAATTATGAATTTAACATAACAATCCGTTTGAAAATTTCGTTTCAAATTTATGCATGTTTTCTTTCACCTACATATTTCATTATTGACAATTTATTAAAATTTTATTTTACAACTCGGTATACTGTCTACTTACCACAGATACGAAGAATATTAGATAATGAACTTAATGATTTAATTCAGTTAAGTATATTTAAATAATAATTACCTATAAGTACCTATGTAGGTATGTATGCTGTGTATATATAATTTATATTTTAAATGCGGAGGTGGAAGCCAACGCAGTTACGTTTTTTTATTTTGCCCATTCAAGCGGGCATACGGCCCTGCCAAACAGACTGCGGTCTGCGAAGTATATAAATTTTGAATTTTCATCGATTGATACCGGCATGGTTGCGAAGCTGCTTAACTCGATAAAAACGAATAGCACTGGTTGGGATGGTATAAACATTACTATTGTGAAATTGTTTTGTCCTACAATTCTTTCGTATCTAACGCATATAATTAACGAATGTATCAATACTAACACATTTCCAACTGCGTGGAAAAAAGCACTTGTCATACCGATTGCAAAAATACCCAACCCAAAAGAATACAAAGATCTTCGTCCCATCAGTATTCTCCCAGTAATGTCAAAAATCTTAGAAAAAATCATTGATTCACAGCTACGCGCGTATTTAAACACTAACCACGCTTTCTTACAAAACCAATCTGGGTTTAGGGCCGGGCATAGCTGTGCCACTGCTATTCTTCATGTCACTGACGAGTGACGATATATTAAGAGCGACTGACCAAGGCAAGGTATCTGTGCTAACACTTCTGGATTTCAGCAAGGCATTTGATACTGTAGACCATCACATTCTGACCTCAATTCTACGTTCTTTTGGCCTATCGCCCAACGCAACTGCTCTAATTCAAACATATTTAAAAAATCGATCGCAATGCGTGCATTTAATGGGTTCGACATCTCCTTATCGAAAACTAACGAGAGGTGTCCCACAAGGGTCAATACTTGCCCCGCTTCTGTTTAATTTGTACTCGTCCTACCTACCTTCCGTCGTAAAAACATGTTCAGTCCACATGTACGCCGATGATTTACAAATGTATTACTCTTTTGATAGTGAAAATAGCACTGAAGCTTTAAATCTTATTCAAAGTGATCTAAATGCACTTGCTACAGGCTCCTTACACCATTCATTAGTAATCAACCCCTCAAAATCGATGGCTATATTTTTTGGCAACAAACATAAACTTGAAAGGCTAAAGGAGCACTCAAGGCTATATATCGGTGATCAACAAATAATCATATCAGATGAAGTCAAGAATTTGGGAGTAGTAGTTGATAATACCTTCAGGTATACGAAACTAATAATGAATTTCATTCAACGAGCAATCATCAACCTTAAATTAATCTTTCCCCACAGACACTACCTTACACAATCATTAAAAGCACATCTTTGTAATTCCTTAGTGCTGAGTCACTTCAACTACTGTTCCCAAGTTTATGGCTCCGGTATCACACAAAATATTTCGGCCAAAATACAACGTATTCAGAACTGTTGCATTAGATTAATATTTGGAATAAAGAAGTTCCAGCACGTGTCACATAAAGTAAAAGACTTATCTTGGCTCAATATGGCAAACAGAAGACTCTTAAATGCGGCATGCTTGTACCACAAAATAATGCTAGACAAATCCCCGCCATACTTGTATAATAAAATAACGTTCAGATCTGACGTTCATAATCTTAATATTCGATTTAGAGGGAGAATAACGCCACCGATACATCGTACAAGTTTGTTTAGACGATCCTTTACGTAGGTATGACTTTTATAAAATTTATTCCTCTATTTCGGAACCACTGAAATCACTACCACTGTGTACCTTCAAGAAAAGAATGCGCCAGAATCTGCTAGACAGTCAGTTTAAATAATTAAAACGTACAAACATTACCACGTCTGGGTTCACCCAGAATATGTAGGTACACTTTCCACTATAACCACCTGTTATATAACTAATTAATCTTTACATCGCTGCACCGACATCCTTCATCCAATTATCATCTGACACCATAATTTAAGTTAATAGGCAAAATGTTTACAAGTTCAGTTTTGCACGATGAACAATCTTTAACTTATTTTTTTCAGGGAATTGGTGGTAGATCAGAACTTGCATTTATTTGCAACGACTGAACCAATTTCCCCTGTGATTTTCACCATACAGCTTAGGTATATGCATTTGTCTCCTTATTACACTCTCAGCCTTTGTTTCTAAGTTGTTATGACGTGAAAATAAATGCATTATTATTATTATTATTATTATTATTTTTTAAGTTATTCTCGCTGTTGCGGATCTATGATTACACGACGGGTTGTTTCCAAGTCGTGCGATCTTCTATTGTATTTGATGTAAAAATTTTCTAACTATGGAAGATGTTTTCAGAATAATTGCTTTCTGCATATTTGTGTGAGTGTAAGTGTTATTATTATTATTATTATTATTATTATGGTCGGTGTTTCTTGTGAGAACTCAGGTCTAGCCTGGTTAACTAATCGCACGGATTAAAATCAAGTAACGATTAGTGTCTGTGTCTGGTGAAGTTATGTAGGGTTATTGGAAATCTAGGGATAGTATGTAATTCATACTTACCAACATAGCTATTAATGGCCACAATAGTCAACGCTATCAGGAAAGAAGAAAACAAAACAAAAATATCATTATAATAATTTCTGTAATTTTATTAAATGGAGTTTATTGTGTAAGTGTTTCTTTGGCTTTGCGTTTGGGTTGAATACGAGTGGGTTGTGATAACGTGGTGTTCTTCGGTGAGGATGGAGTTTTGTGTTTTTTTACTGTGCTAGGACGTGTAACTTTATTGGGTGGACCTGTCTTTGTGGTACATGTTGCCTTACTTGTATTTATGGTGTTTCTTTGTCCTTGAGGTTGTATTTGTGTTATTGCTTGGGTTATTGGTGGAGGTATTACTGTATTTTGTGAGCTAGTAGTGCTGTTTAGGTTTTTGCGTTTGGGTTGAGTTATTATTATTATTATTATTATTATTATGGTCGGTGTTTCTTGTGAGAACTCAGGTCTAGCCTGGTTAACTAATCGCACGGATTAAAATCAAGTAACGATTAGTATCTGTGTCTGTGTCTGGTGCAGTGTTATGTACGGTCCTTAAAAAAAAAAAAAAAACCACTTGCAGGTCCTTAAAAAAAAAAAACCACTTGCATTATATTATTATTATTATTGTCGGTGTTTCTTGTGAGAACTCAGGTCTAGCCTGGTTAACTAATCGCACGGATTAAAATCAAGTAACGATTAGTGTCTGTGTCTGTGTCTGGTGAAGTTATGTAGGGTTCTAAAGAAAAATAAAAATAAAATAAATATTATTATTATTATATATATATATTATTATATATATAAATATAATTATTATTATTATTATCGGTGTTTCTTGTGAGAACTCAGGTCTAGCCTGGTTAACTAATCGCACGGATTAAAATCAAGTAACGATTAGTGTCTGTGTCTGGTGAAGTTATGTAGGGTCATTAAAAAAAAAAAAAAAAATCACACACGTACATTGGACATCTAGGGATAATGTAATTCGTACTTACCAACATACCTATTGATGGGCACAATAGCCAACGCTATCAGGAAAGAGGAAAACAAAACAAAAAAATCATTATAATAATTCCTGTAATTTTATTAAATGGAGTTTATTGTGTAAGTGTTTCTTTGGCTTTGCGTTTGGGTTGAATACGAGTGGGTTGTGATAACGTGGTGTGCTTCTGTGAAGAAGGAGTTTTGTGTTTTTTAATTGTATTTATGGTGTTTCTTTGTTCCTGAGGTCGTATTTGTGAGGTTGCTTGGGTTTTTGGTGGAGATATTGCAGTATTTTGTGAGCCTGTGTTAAGGTTTTTGCGTTTCGGTTGTATACGAGTGGGTTGTTTCTGAGAAGAAGGAGTATTGTGTTTTATTTATTATTATTATTATTATTATTATTATTATTATATTCGTATATTCTATGTAAATGTATTGTCCAACAGAGAGTGTTCTGACCGTGGACCGCGCGGTCTATCAACGGGGTTGTAATATTTTACAGAGATCATAGGACATAGAATACAGATATATTGCAGACCACCAATCGCAGACCGCACTTTGTCTGGCAGGGCTTTGAGGCTTTCGACTAGTGATTCGAAAAGAAAAGAAGATGTTCAGCCTACTTCAATTAATCGTTGAAAGTGACTGTTGATGACTTTTCTCCTTCTTGATTAACAATAAATGCTGGAGCCTTTCGCATCGAGGCACCAGTGCGAAGATCATTTGCTGCTACATTTGTACGGAATGTAATTTTCAGAGTGGGCGGGCGGCATTTTTCTAAACGCCACACGTAATTGCGAATCGGCCCATGTCCGAGCGTCGAGTGGATGGTAGTTTTAAGGCTGAAGATTCTTCAGTGAAACAAAAATAATTTAAGTAATAGACACTTATGAGTTCCGTAGAGGATCTACATACTAAACCCCACTCGGTACAGTCAGGAGCAACAGCAAGAGGTCGACCGCGTTCTACCGGTAGCCCGCGAAGGTAATTAAGGTAGCTCGCGGATGATGACATATTTCTGAAAGCTAGAGCATTTGGTAACACTGATTTTTGGAAACTGATTTGCAAAGAAAAGTTCCCGTGCCTAAGGAAGGTAGCTTTAGTTGACATCATTTTTTGGTTCTACCACAGATAACACCGGTCTACAGCATTTTTGCGCATGGGACATATATACCTTATTTGTATTGCTTGTATAGCCACAAATAAGAATTAAAACAAAAAAAGGTTATGTATTTGTTTTTGTGCGAAAGAAATGCAAAAAACCAAAAAATAAAAATACCTATAAAATCTTACTTACATAGGCATGGTTTATTATCAGGTAACGTTCCTACACTTATAATATGTTTGTCTTAGAGTCTAAATGTTTAAAAATGGAACAGTTTTGCTGTTTTTGTCATGTTCAACTGAAGTTTTTCTCATCAACCCCCCAAATATGATCTTCCATCATGCTTCCAGCTTACTGGCCTTGGTAACGTGCCTAAATTCCATTATGTCTTGATGAAAGGGTTCCGAATAAGCTCCCATATTATCCTTAAATTAATCTAAATGAGAATGTAACCTGTGCATCTTTAGAGACATTCTATACCCGATGATGCAAAACCAAAACCCCTCAGCTCTTCATAATTTTTAGCTCTATGGTTTCCAAGGAAACACTGAACGGAAAACCATGGACTATTGCCTTAAAAATGTTCCAGGATTTTTTTTCCTCTTTGCTAAGTAACCGCGGGAAAATATCACCCTCCATTTTTCTTTTAATTTGAGCGAAAACAAAGATTCCAGCTTTAATTTTCGCCCCTGAAAGCTTTCAATCAAATCGCTATAACTTTTGTAAAAGCAAATATTTTCGATGTCTAATTGCACTTTTTAGCGCATTTTTGCAAAAAATTTTTTTTGTAAAAAGTAGCTTTTAATCTCACTTTGGCTGGCTGGCTGGCTGGCTGGCTGGCAGCAAATGTGGGCGCGTAGAAGAACTCTTGTAGAAAGGCAACGGGTGTACGTGTATCTACAGGGCCGTGAAATTTGTCAACCTTAGGGACATGGCTACATGATGTGGGGTTGGCGACATCTGGGCGTCATCCTCGAGCGTAGTATACTAACGTGAAGGTTTTTCAGTTTTTTCCTATCTTCTACTACAGTTTTGGTCCGATTCTTTTGAAATTGGTGTCGTCGGAAAGATGTTGTAAACGCGCACAACTCCTGCGTGGCGGAATTTTGTTTTTTGTCATAGGGGCGAAATTAACGACCTTTTGCGAGGCGGCGCGCGCGTCTTCGAGAAGTAGTCAGGCGCCTTTTACCTTCCGTTGCGAACTCACGCGGTTTAACGTTTCGTGAATCTCGAATCGCTGTCTCTCTTTCTCGTGTCGCCAATAGAAGTGAATTGCGAGTGAACGGGACGTCGGAAGTGGGTACCGTAAAAGAGAATGTGGTAGCCCGCGACACGATCTCACTGATGGTGGAGTCAAATCTTCAAACGCGAATTGCGGTGAACGGGACGTCGGAAGGAGGTACCGTCAAAGGGAATGTGGTAGCCCCCGACACGATCTTCCTGATGGTGGAGTCAAATCTTCAAACGCGAATTGCGGGTGAACGGGACGTCGGAAGTGGGTACCGTAAAAGGGAATGTGGTAGCCCGCGACACGATCTCACTGATGGTGGAGTCAAATCTTCAATCGCGAATTGCGGGTGAACGGGACGTCGGAAGGGGTACCGTCAAAGGAAATGTGGTAGCCCCCGACACGATCTTCCTGATGGTGGAGTCAAATCTTCAAACGCGAATTGCGGGTGAACGGGACGTCGGAAGGGGGTACCGTAAAAGGGAATGTGGTAGCCCCCGACACGATCTTCCTGATAGTGGAGTCAAATCTTCAATCGCGAATTGAGGGTGAACGGGACGTCGGAAGTGGGTACCGTCAAAGGTCGAGTGGGTACGTAAAAGGGAATGTGGTAGCCGCGTATCTCTTATTCGATCTCACTGGATGGTGGAGTCAAATCTTAAAACGCGAATGCGAGTGAACGGGACTCGGAAGGGGGTACCGTCAAAGGAAATGTGGTAGCCCCTGACACGATCTTCCTGATGGTGGAGTCAAATCTTCAAACGCGAATTGCGGGTGAACGGGACGTCGGAAGTGGGTACCGTAAAAGGGAATGTGGTAGCCCGCGACACGATCTCACTGATGGTGGGGTCAAATCTTCAAACGCGAATTGCGGGTGAACGGGACGTCGGAA